AATCCATTGTTAACTTCAAGTTTCGATTCAGTTGCAATTAACGTGCCTTGTGATATACATTTGACTGACATTCCAAAACATTTAAATATGAAGCCATTCTATCAACAAGTGACAATAAAACTGAACTTTATGAACTGCAATCGGCTATACCTTCTCCTCCACAAACTCAAATAATTTATAAAAGAAGCTGGTGAAGAATTATCCTTTGAACACGATAGTAAGTAAACTTAGAGCTTTTCTTCTACACTGCTTTTGTAAGACTAGGTTCGAGACTTTTGGCTCACTTAAGGTTATGTTGAGTAGCTTAAATAGTCTTTTCCTAAGTGCTTTCGTTGTAGAGTATAAAATGCTAGCGTTACTTTCGTGTTGTTTACTTCGTAAATTTGGCATTAGTAGCTGCACACACAACGCTCTCTCCCTATGTAGCTATCTTACTTATTTGCAGCTAGTAAATTACTGTCTAGAAAGTTTTAAGTTAACTTAGCCTTCTTCATTTTTTAGCGAAAAAATACGATGATTTGCAACTGCGTCGTAAAATGGAAGAAAGAGAAGCGCGTGGAGTGCCCGTGAAAAGAAAAGGTCGACTACAATCAACAACCCGCCGACGAAAACGACGACAACAACAATCACAATAATTAGCCATCGTTTAAAATAAGGATGTAGAACTTTTCAAGAAATAAACTTGTTTTTTTATGTTAAATTTTGTTAAATCCTTTTTGTTACAAAATATAGAACGAACAAAGTAATTCCGTCAATGAAATAATGCACGCAGAATTATGGAGGGGGTGGCTACTCTTTTGGTGGAAACACGTCTGGACGCGCCGGTAATAGTTTGATGAAGCTGCGCGTCTGGACGCGCCAGTAATAGTTTGATGAAGCTGCGCGTCTGAACGCGTTTCTCGAGGAAGAAGGTAAAGAAACGCGTCGAGACGCGTTTAAAAAAGTACGTCTAATGCTTTTCTTGTAAAAATAGGCGTTTAAACGCGTCTTATTGTAGTGCGTCTAGACGCACCAAATTTTGGCGCCTTTAAACGCGTTTCGTTTCATAAAGACTTGATTTTCGCACGAAACAGTTTTCGTTTAAACGCATCTCAAGACTGTTTAGAGAAAACACGCGCCTTTTCGAAAGGAAACGCGTTCCTTCAGACGCATTCGATTTACATGGGTGTTCCGTCAAAAAATTTTGTTTCGAAAAATTTATTGCATTTTTTTGTTTTGTCTGTCCAAGAAAAAACTGCTCGATACTCATGTTTCTCTTCCGATTTCGAAAAAAATATTCTGATTTTTAACGAAAAGCTCTTGGTTTCGACAAATTGGATTTGGGCACCCTGATCTCGGGGCTTGCAAAGGTTACGTCACGTTTTATCAGACAACTTTCACCATGTTTTACCCGATTTTTTCTTCGGAAACATGATGCGAGCAAGCTATCTTGTTCACTGAGAGCTCAGTTAGAGAGTGAGCTGAAACAAAATACAGAGTCATCTTATTTATTTCCGTTTCGCATGCAGAAAATCCTCCTTTATATCACAAGTGGGCTCATGTTCTTTTATGTAACTCTATACTTATTATGGCACAGCACATTGGAAAATAGTATTCCATATAACAGACAGTGATGACATCTATGAAATAGAAATTCTTAAAAGAAAAGAAAAAAACGAGCATCGATATATTTTCTCACTAAATGGTACAAACCAATGAGAAAAGACGATAAGTTAGCGACAGACGTAGTCAACCTTTCAATTACAGACCGATTTCTCTGTTTTGATCGATAGATTTTTGTACGAAATGGATTTCAAAAAATCGATCAATCAAATTTGTTCTTTTCTTTTTTTTTATATTTGTAACGGCGGCCAGTTTTTACAGGAAAAATTGACGGCTAGCGGGAAACAACCATTTTGTTTGACATTGTTCCTGCATATATAAGAATAAATACTTGCACTACAAAACATCGAAAATTTTGAAAGTGAAACGCGAACATTGTGTTTGAATGCATGGTTGCTCGTTTACTTTCAAGAGCTCTGGTACTGTATGCGTAGTACCGTACAGCTTACACTGTAGTGACACAGTAGAGCTTGCACTGTAGTGATACAGTAGAAAAAAATAAAAATATAAAGTAGAAAATAAAGTTTAAGATTTTCTTTCATAGTCTCAAATCTGTTAATGAAGATTCTGATTATTGCATATTAAATTAATCATTTGCGAATTCTTGAAATATCTTGACAAGATCTGCTTAAGATTTATCACGACAGATTCTGATACAAAACTTGTGGAAAATCTGCAACATTGCCTTCCATTCAGAATCTTGACAGATTTCGATAAATCTGCGCAAGTTCTTGAAAGATCTGGGGCGAAACTTGAGAAATTTTTCAAGATTTACCAATTGAAGATTTTGCTCCTGGAGGATCACCCTCTCAGAAGTTTGTTCTTATTTTTCTGTTGACGAGGTTTATTTTAGTCCACTAGCCGCAGTTTCAACATTATTTAATTAATAGACAGCATCACTTCCACTATCACCTATGAAAAATTTCTTGCCTTCTAGTTGATGTCCTTAACTCGATGACTCATCATTTTACAGTCTAATTTTGCGCTTTAATTTAATTTAATTTTATGTCATCACATCATAGAATTTGTTTGATCATTAACGCTCTTTCGTGCAGATTTTTGTTTAAACTTACTATTCATTTATTTGAGATTTTTCTCTACCTGAACAAGGACAATGCCAATAAGAATTAATGTAGCTGTATGACACACATGATCATTTCTGGTAAATATTCATTTAAGTAGAACAGAAAATGTAATACGGAAATACAAATTAACTTAGTTTATTAATATGACAGAGGCAACAAGGATCAAACTGAAACGGATTTTAAAGAAAAATGAACGATGGAAGAGCAGCTCCAGCTGATTCTTCTATAGATGAAATTGGCTACCTGTTAAGATATCGACGGCGAGTGTTTGACGTGTGGACGTGTTGTCTTTAATAATAATAGACGTAAGAGCTACTGATACTGCTAGCAATGAGTCAAAAGATTCTTAATGCTTACCCAAGGAGAAAAAAAATATCGACTATCGGACGATCTAGCTAGCTAACTCAATATACTACCCGATATACCTAGCTAGCAATTCGAATTGGGTTATTTACTATCGGGCGATATAGCTAGCTAACACG